TGATACCAGATATTGCACCAAATTTGTTATAGAGTATTATAATAGATGGTGACTAGAGTTATTATAGCAGATAAATAAGTTATAAAATCAATTCCTTTGCGAATCGGCAATAATGAAGGATCTGATTAACTGAAGCACCACACCTTTTCCCGACTTTGAAACGATTGAAGCTGCAAGAACCACCTAGGGGTACACAAACGATTAAAAAAAATCAGACCTATCAGAAACAATATACAGTAACTCAATGATAGCAAGGGAATAAATGTATAAAGATTCCTTGAAATCAGAAGATTAAATAAGTTTATTAGCACTACCTAGCGACTAGCAAGAGGATTAAAAGTAAAAAGACAATGAAACCAACTAGCCATACCATTTTTTATCGCCTTTGTTGATGACTACAATTATTCAAACCAAGCCGTTAAACTATGAACCTGTCACATGAAAACAATTACACAATCAGCAAAGTAATCACAACGAGAATACAACATGACTAATGACTGTCAGAACTGGGAAAAATGAAGGGGTAATTGCAGTCACTTAAAGTAATTTATTTCAGCAATCAACAGTAGCTATCAAAGACATGAACAAGGCAACTGTTTTGCCCCTGTGATGCGATCTCAAATTAAATATGCCACTTAAAGTTTTGCACATAAATCAACACTAAACAGGGTATCAATCAGCTGTATCACATGATGCAGGGAACGATTAGAAGAGGACCATAATGGTTTTTAATTTAGTTACCCAACAACACGTATATGCAAACAGATCAAGGTGCTCAAACAGCCATTTGTTGCATCGTATTCCGTTCAACTGTGTTATTAACACATTATCAGGGACATATATCTACCGCATAGCACTGGTGCAAAGGTGATGTGATTACCAGTATACTACAGGCATCACATCGTTCGAGGTCAATGAAAGTAAAGAAAGATAAAAAAAAAGAAGTCATCCAAAACAACACTACCCTTGACATCATTCAGATTCAGGGTAGCACATTGTAAATGGGCCGGAAAAACGTATGGACGCGCATTGCACCTGAACCTACAGGAGAACTGACAAAGGCAGCCCGGATCTAGGAGAGTACACCGAGAAGAAAATTGGCAGAGGCGGCCCGGATCTAGAGGAGCAAAGCTAGCCATGACGTGTGGTGGTCGCCATGAATGAAAGAAAAAAAAAAGGATTTGGCATAACAGAGCGGCGAAAGGACGCCTGGATCTGGCCAGAATTGGCGTGCTCGGTTGCGCATGGCCGTAAGGGAAGCTAAGGGGCGGCCTTGCCAGTTTTATGCTCGTCGCCGGCAAAGGGCCCGGCGGAGACTTGGCGAATCATCTTAGATAAGCTAAATGGAACTACAAACCAGTGCTCCAAGCGGCTGGACTGTTGGTGATCGAAATCGAGCAAGAAAATGGTGAAGGGGAGAGGGAAGGGAGACCAAGGGCAAGAACATACGTTGGAGGAGTGCGTGCGCCGGTGGTGCGTCTCCACCGGTGGCTGCGAGTTCGTCGGAGTCGGCACCGCCTCTGTCGCGCCTCCGCCCCCGCGAGATTCGTCGCCACTGCCGGGGTGCGAGATCTGTGTGTTGGAATTGGGAATTTTTATTTGCCTCTGTGCCCTGTGGCGGTGGGCTAGACCGATGGATGGATGGGCAACTCCGCACTTGGGCAGTTGGGCCTGGGTCGCGGTCGCCTTTGCGCTTTCTGGTCGTCTTCTTCTCGTGCCAACGACACCCAAAAAAAAAAGATTCATTCGTGTTTTGATAAGGTTATACACAAAAGGTTTAATACATATTTAGTATCTTCTTCAATAACAAGACCTAAAAGAGAATCATTTCTATAAATGGATTTCCAGTATATGTACTCTTTTGGAAACTGATTTTGAGCCTGTTGCTACCCATTTTGGGTTTAGTTGCCTATATAGGTTTTTTTGTTAGACACATTTTAACTCCAGCTAACTCAGCAGCTTCCCCTCGGAAAAAAAAACACTCAGCAGCTTTCTCTATTAAAAAAAATAAAACTAGCTCAGAAGCTCAACATAGGTTTTGTGTGCATCTACGTCCTCCCTCCCTGAAAAAAAAAGCCTCAAAGTCAAATAATGTAAAATTTAACCATATATAAAATAAAAAATTACTAATATCTATGATATATAATGAATATCATTAAATAATACAATAATATGTTCTATAATAAATCTATTTAAAGATATAAATGTTGGTATTATTTTAATCTAGCTAAATTTAAGATTGTTTGGCTTCTTGAAACTGAGATTTCATTTTCTTGGGATTGCACCACTCATATGCACTTTGACTTTATTCGTTTTGGTGGCTTTGTCAGAACGATCGTAAATTTCAATTTTGAACAGTATTTTCTCTCACACAAACCACCAAAGAAGATTTCTTCATAAACCAAAGAATAATCTGAACAACCCAACCGAACAGTGAGATGATAACAGGTGATGATAGCTGATCGTTTGAGCCCGTTCTCAAGCTGACATGTGACTAGCTTTTAGCTTTCTTGAACTCAGGACAGGTGCATACAATAGCACCTATTTAGATGAGCCAATTTCATATACGAGATTCATCCTTCGTTACACTAGCATTTAAAACTTATAATTTATTTTATTTAAGGTTGAGATAAACCCAGTTAAATTCAACTAAATAGCTAGCTTATTATCATGTCACCAGCACCACGGAACAAAATGTACCTCTCATTGCAATGCACACGTATGTTTGCTAGTTTCTTAAAAAAGGGATAAAAAGAAAAACTTAATTTTGTTTTTTTCTAATTCAATTTTTTTCCAAATTTGGCCAATTTTCTAAAAAATGTATCAACATCAATAAATTCAAATAAATGCATTATCCAAATCCAGAACATATCTCATGGAGAATTTTATGAAACTAATTTGATTTTGTCTATGTTGATTCATTTTTCTATAAAATTAGTTTGAGTTAAAGAAGTTTGACTTTACACAAAGTTTAAGTGAATATAACTTGGAAATGAATGAGTACTTCCAATTTTGCCATCATACTTTTAGAAAACTAGAAGGATATCTTGCGTGTTGCTACGTATGATTTGAAATAAAATTAGAGTACTTATATTTATTTATATGAAAGGATAAACTATCGTAAATGAATACTAGTGGATAGTGTGGCACATAGATGTGAACAACTAAGTGTATGTTAGTGGATGCTATGGTTCGCTAATGTTGATAGCTTAAATGAAGAGATAACTATTATAATTGCACATGCTAGTAGGCTTCCAATGCGGATAGCATATATGGAGAGATAGGCGTGCTAGTGGGACTTATGAATGTAAGATATAAAGATATAGATATTGATATAAATTGTGGCCACTAAAATTACCTAACTACACGATATGATCATTAACTCTTATGGTTTGGGGAGGCTAGAGACCAAGCAAAGGTGTAGACAGTAGTGACGACCTCCAAGCCATCCAAAGTTGTTCAACCAAGTGATATTAGCACTTTGTGAGAAGGATTAAGAGTCATATTAAGCTTGATTAAACTAGTGATATGGCAATGAATGAGTGGAATTTGTACTCTCGAGCTACCGGGACCTTAGGGCCTTGTGTGAACCACTAGAAATCTATTGATATGATGGACTCTGGTATTATTACTAAGTCTCCATTGAGTTCTATGATTTTCTAAATGATGTCATATGCACACATCAAAGCGGAGTAGAACTCTCCTCCTTCACTTGAGGCCTGCCAAGAAGCACCATGATAGGTGATAGATTAGCCATTGAAACCCAGTCAACCTCCTTATGAGAAATACCCTATGCAACAATTTAATCTCCAACTTTCCCAATATTGTCCCTTTGTTTGTCATTCTCCTCCTTTTACCACTAACACATGTGTGTTAAATGCCTTTGCCCTTGATATTTACACCACCACAAGCGTAGCAGTTTGAAACCAATCATAACCATGCCCTGACCCATTGTGAGGTGGAATAATACCACTAATGACGTACATGCACATTAGTCTAGGGTTGTTTAGGAACAATATGAGTGGAAACATTGTTGCCTTAGATGTGACGACCCCTCCACAAGTACCTGTTGTGGCTCTATGAGTAGTACCAAATATCTTAAACAACTACAACATGAGTGCAACTAATACCGCTATATATTGTGTTGGCGGTGCCATCGGGTGATATCGGTTCTCAAGATGGAGGCATAACATTCCATTGCCCTTGTATATTTCTCTAGTTGCTTTGTAATTACCATCCCTGTTTGGAAATTGCTAATAGTTGTCTTCCTATTTTGCTATTACTATTGGTACTACTGAGCTTGCATTTGCATAGGTTGGAAATGCCATACATCTATGCAAGTGATGGTATTAATCTCATTAGCAAGAAGAAATCATCGCAGGCCATCATCTAAATGTTGTGCATGGTATCCTAGATGCAAAAGTTGTTGCTACTACTAATTTGAGTAGGGAAAGCGACAACATCAATTGGAATGAAAATTTACATGGCCAACTATTCATTGCTAGCTAACCTTTGGAAGAAGGTGTGTTGAATAAAGACCCAATACTTATACCGCTACATGCACAAGTGATATCACTGCGCTTCCTGATCAAAGAGAAACTCGAGTTTTGTGGTTATAAAACATTTCTTCTCGATGACATCCCCTCGAGGGAAGCACCAATAGAAGACAAAGTTACGTGTAGGGCCAGGGAAGATAGTTTTCTCTCTTTATATTCTCTTTACATGTGTATATCATGGTTTTTTTTTATCATGCTTGTTTTTATATATATACATAATTAGGTCAATATATAATATTCGTGTGTTCTTGTTTGAATGAATGTAACAGCTATACACTTTCATTTTCTCTGATTTGAGCAGTCTTTTCTCGTTTCTGAATGAAAAAACACATCTGTTTTTTTTTTTCTTATATTGCCGTTAATATCTGATCCGCTTGGCTATCCAAACCAACCTCCTTCCCTCCATAAACCGCGACGCTCAAACCTCCCCGCCCGGCGACGCCGATGCCATCCATGGCGTCTTCGGCCGCCTCCTCCTCCTCCCTCGCAGCAATTAGCCACCCTCATTTTCTCCCTGCCAAGCCCGTCTCCCCTCCCAAACCACTCACCCATCCGCTCCCCGCGCGGCGTCTACCCCGCCCGCAGCTCGTCGGCGCCGCCTCCACCCCCCGCACCTCCCAGGCGGAGCTCCGTCCGGACTCCAAGAACGCCCCCGCGCTGTCCGCCGAGCTCCGCCGCCTCTCTCGCGCGGGGCGGCTCCCGTCCGCGCTCTCCCTCCTCGACCACCTCTCCCACCGTGGCGTCCCGGCCACCGCCTCCGCCTTCGCCGCGCTCCTCTCGGCGTGCCGCTCCCTCCCGCACGCGCGCCAGATCCACGCGCACCTCCGCGTCCACGGGCTGGACACCAACGAGTTCCTCCTCGCCAGGCTCGTCGAGCTCTACCTCGCGCTCGGCGCCACCGACGACGCGCGCGGGGTGCTCGACGGGATGCAGCAGCACGGCGCGAGCGCGACTGCCTACTCGTGGAACGCGCTCCTGCACGGGCACGTCCGCCGGGGACGCGGGGAGGCGGCGGGCCCCGTCGCCGACGCGTTCGCGGAGATGCGCGCCGCGGGGGCCAGCGCCAACGAGTACACGTACGGCTGCGTGCTCAAGTCCATCTCCGGGAGCGCCAGGCCGTCGATGACCATGGCCACCGCCACGCACGCGACGCTCGTCAAGAACGCTTTCGCGGGCGCGCCCGGGATGCTGATGACTGGGCTTATGGACGTCTACTTCAAGTGCGGGAAGGTGAAGCTCGCTGTGAAGGTGTTTGAGGAAATGCCTGAGAGGGACGTGGTCGCGTGGGGGCAGCCATTGCTGGGTTTGCACACAAGGGGATGAAGAGGGAGTCCCTGGAGCATTTCCGGTGGATGGTGGAGGATGGGGTCAAGGTGAATTGTGTGGTGCTCACGTCAATTGTGCGGTCATTGGAGAGTTCTTGGGCGCGCAACTTGGGTAGAGAGGTTCACGGATTTGTGTTGAAGAAATTCGGAGATCGTAAAGATGTTGCAAAGGTCCAGGCGGGCTTGGTTGACATGTACTGCAAATGCGGTGATATGATCTCAGGTAGGCGAGTGTTCTATAGCAGCAAGAAGAGGAATGCTGTGTCGTGGACAGCTTTGATGTCTGGGTATGCATCTAATGGTAGGCCAGACCAGGCGCTGAGGTGCATAGCTTGGATGCAGCAAGAAGGAATCAGACCAGACCTCATTGCTGTGGGGACTGTTCTCCCAGTCTGCACAAAGTTGAAAGCGCTGGGGGAAGGGAAGCAGCTCCATGCATATGCTTTAAGGAGGTGGTTCTTGCCCAACGTCTCTTTATGCACATCACTGATCACCATGTACGGCACATGTGATCACTTGGAATACTCTCACCGAGTATTTCATGATATGGACAAGAAGACTGTACAAGCTTGGACTGCATTGGTTGATGCCTACCTCAAGAATGGAGACCCATTAACTGCTATTAATTTGTTCAGATCTATGCTGCTGACAAACCGCAGGCCTGATGCCGTTGCTGTCACCAGGATGTTGAGTGCCTGCTGTGATATTGGAGCATTACGACTCGGCAAAGAAGTGCACGGTCAGGTGCTAAAGTTGCGGATGGAACAACTCCCTTTAGTTGCAGCAGAAGTTGTAAACATGTATGGTAGGTGTGGAGACCTCAAAGCAGCACAGAGGGTTTTTAATCGAACAGAGTCCAAGGGATCCATGACCTGCACTGCGATAATAGAAGCTTATGCAGTCAACCAACGCCATAAGGAGGCGCTGCATCTCTTTATTTGGATGTTGTCAAATAAATTTGTTCCTACCAAGGCCACATTCGATGTGGTTCTGAAAATCTGCGACGCCGCTGGGTTGCCTGATGAAGCCCTTGGAATTTTTAACTCTATGGTCCAAGAATACAACCTAGAAACATCCCAAGAGAATTTTGACTGCATCATCCGCCTCCTTACTGGTGCTGGCAGGATTTCTGAAGCACAGCGCTTTGCTGACCTGAAATCTACTCTGTTTAATTTACCAACTCCAGTTTTGAACACTGAACAGGATTGATTTTGTACAAATTCTTTTCTTTCTACATTGTACTGATATTTGTTGTATGATTTTTCAAAGAGATACTGATAGTCCTTTTTGTGGTTGTAAACCTGTTGCAAAGCAACATTCTTTCTAACCAACTGACAGTGCCATCATTTGTTGAGTGTGTAATTTACTAATTTGACATCAGTGCAGTAGCAAATTTTGAAGGAGAAATAATACTGTTAGCATTATCAATTGTTTGATTATACACTGTTTTCAGGAGTCCTTTTTCTTATAATATGCTAAAAGCAACAAAGTTGCCCTGCAAATGTCTAATTTAATATAGTCACATTACAATTTACAGAACTTTCTTTTGCTACAATAGTTTTTTAGATGGAAAATGAATTACATTACCATTTACCCATTACACATAGCCAAATTGTTGGAGGTTAGGACATAGACAAAGTTTGGTGGTCCATGGTGCTGCCAAAGGACACCACCGAGTCACAGAGCTTTACTGTTATAGCTTCTTGACATTGCTCTCTCTCCCTGGTTCCTCACTGTAACTCTGTAGCTCTCTTGCATCTTTCGGAGCTAGGTCAGTGTCACACGATCCTTTTCTGTGGCAGGATTCATGTGCTGGACTTTGTTACTAGCTTGGCATACATCAATTTGAGTGGGGGTCAATGGTTATAGGAATCCTTTCGATCTCAAATATTTGGTTTGCTGTACTCAAGAGTTTGGACTTAAATTCTACTTATACACAAGCAGGACGAGATTTCTCTCATTCTTTGATTCACCTGATGCCCTCAGAAAGTTTAGAATCTTCTTTCGCTTGAAATATTTATAAAATATTATATTGTGTAGTTGCTGTCCTGAACACCTTTCATATGCTTCCAGAATGTTACACAAATTACTAATGATATTATGTTTTGCTTTCACAGGGATAAGGGAATCTTCAGCAGACAAATGGTGTAACAATGCACCAATTCTCACAAGCATCTAAGACGATACTAGCTCGACATAAATAATGAATAGGTAGTAATTCCTGTCCATCTATTGTTTTTTATCTTTTCCATGACATGGTGATCAAACAACCAACTCTGTTTCCCTTTGCTCCTATCGTATGAAAGAGAAGAAACATGACTGGTAACTATTTTTAGATAAGAAGCATAACCATTAGCTAATTTTAGCTCTCACAATATCTCCCATCCATTCCTTTCTGAACACCTGGTCGTTAGTAATTTCTAATGGTTTGGTTCGTTTCCTTTTGAGATTTTTTTTTTTAATTTTTTGAGTATTGCCTTAGAGATAGAAAAATAAAGACTCCTTGCTGTGAAATCCCTATCTGTTGTTTGCAATCCAACTTTGTTGTGTATTATTGTTTCTTGCACTCACTCTTCTCTGTCCATGGACCGAAATGGGGAGTTGGTGTCATAATGGTTTACTGAAAGGAAAAAAACAGATTGATACCTGGTTCTTGGTTCTTTTTGATGGGGATGCCTTCACACCAAGCTACAATTTTCATCATATTTGGCTGGTTTTTCCTGCTCCTGATCACATTTTCAAAGAGCTAATCATTGCCCACAATCAACTTACTGTCCATATGGTCAGAGTTCTGCTCCTCCCCAAGGTAAAGTTCTTATCACATCTAGTGATTCATATTAAATTATTTGAATTGTAAATAATTTGTGTGTTACATAGTTGGTTTTGATATATTAGTCTGATTCATATAATTCCAAACGTTTTTGCTGGCCTTCAAATTGTTACAATATGGTTCAATTTGACATTATTTTCACGCATTTCAGTTTCCCTCCAATATCTATACATCTGTGCCAATTCACCTAATTTTCCCCCTAGAGAATAGGCCTGTGTTCTTTCCGCCCAAAAATGTTGAAGAAACTAGTAGTTTGTTTCTCAAGATCATAGGAAAGGCATAAAATAAAGAACTCATTTGATGTTCTTTCAATGATATAATTCTGAATACAATCAGGGTTGTAGCAAGATTGGGAAGTTCAGGCAATGGTCATTTGTTGTCAAGTGCAGAGATTAGCAAGAAAAACTGCAAAAATTGGTCTCAGTGCAATTAACTCGTTCAAGAAGAAGGCATTGCATCTTATGGGCTGCCTTTGCTCCAAAGGCGCCAAAGATGATGCCAATGCCACTTCTGGACGCAGAACACCATCAAGGAAAAGTGACTCTGCTGCTGATGCAATTTCGAACAATGGCAGTTCAGCAGTGCTTAATGCAAAGACCAAAGAAAAATTGTATGGTGGAGAAAAAGTAGCAGTAGCTTTAGATGCTAGGATCAGCAGTGGTAACAATGCAGAGTTGAAAGGGCTCTCTGTTGAGCATGTCGTTGCTGGTTGGCCATCTTGGCTCGTAAATGTGGCGCCTAAAGCAGTAGAAGGCTGGTTGCCTCGGCGAGCAGATTCATTTGAGAAATTGGCCAAGGTAAATTACTGAGTGAATAACTATCTCAATGCATGCAAATTACTTGAATAATTGCATAGATTCTTTTGTGTGGCAGATTGGGCAAGGAACTTACAGTATCGTGTATAAAGCCCGGGATCTCGAATCTGGGAAGATTGTTGCACTAAAAAAGGTGCGGTTTGTCAACATGGATCCCGAAAGTGTGCGCTTCATGGCCAGAGAAATCCACATTCTTCGGAAACTGGATCATCCGAATGTCATAAAGCTTGAAGGGATTGTAACATCTCGTGTGTCGCAGAACCTCTACCTTGTCTTCGAGTACATGGAACATGACCTTGCCGGTCTTGTTGCAACTCCAGGCCTCAAGCTCACTGAGCCACAGGTGGTTGTCATACTACTCTTCCATCGATCGATCACTTGGAACACATGAACTAAAACTATAACACAAATATCAGATAAAATGCTTCGTTCAGCAGCTGCTCCATGGCCTCGATCATTGCCACAAACACGGGGTTCTGCATAGGGATATCAAAGGCGCAAACCTATTAATTGACAGCAACGGAATGCTCAAGATTGGAGACTTTGGCTTGGCAATATCATATGATCCCAACAATCCACAGCCACTGACAAGCCGTGTTGTGACATTATGGTATAGACCACCGGAGCTTTTGCTGGGTGCCACAGAGTACAGTGCTGCGGTGGATATGTGGAGTACAGGATGCATTGTGGCAGAATTGTTCGCTGGCAAACCAATCATGCCAGGAAGAACTGAGGTATAGACTAGTATTTGTTATTTTGCTTTCAGACACCAATAATAATAACAAACTATAAAGGGCCCGTTTGGATCCTTGGAATTGAATTCATTTTAATAATTACAATTTAGACATAGATTAATTAAGCTAATATAGTTCTATATAGAATATATTTGTATATTTATTGTTAGACATACAAGGGACATACTTATATATTGTATTTCTATTGTAGGAAAGTGAGTTAAAGAGTGTGCTATAAGTTGGAGAGTAGAATTATAGCATAGTAATCTATAGAATCCATTTCCATCTCCCACCCTATGAATTTGAGATAGGCTTATTTGTGATCTTGGGAAAGTTATGGAATGTCAAATTCCAAGCCAAATAGCCTATTCCATTAAGTAGATTTCAATTCCTCCAAAATGAAGGGATCCAAACGGTCCCTAAGTTCTTTTTGCAGCTTATGTTTGTCTTTATTGGTTGACCTCTAATATAATGAGCCCAATTATGCTAGGTGGAGCAAATTCACAAGATCTTTAAGCTATGTGGCTCCCCATCTGAGAATTATTGCAAGAAATCAAAGGTGCCAGAAACAGCAATGTTCAAGCCTCAGCAGCAATATAGGCGGTGTGTTACCGAGACTTTCAAAGATTTGCCCCCTTCAGCTGTACTTCTCATAGATTCCTTGCTTTCACTAGAACCAGAAGTTCGTGGAACAGCTGCCTCAGCTCTTCAAAGTGATGTAAGTTTTGCACCTAACCTTTTGTGTACTGAGGCCTGCCTGGCTCCCAGAACTTGTGTTTGGATATGTAGCACTTATGCAATGCATGTTTCAACCTCTTTCAGTTTTTCAGAACCAAACCACTTGCTTGCGACCCTTCAAGCCTTCCAAAACTCCCACCAAGCAAAGAGTATGACGTTAGACTTAGGCAAGAAGAAGCGAGGAGGTACATGATGCAGACCTTATTTTCCCCTTCCATCTGTGGATTTGGGGTTCATTGTGATGCTGACGTTTGGTCTTCTTAATTCTGTTCACCCAGGCAAGGAGCTGAATCGGTCAAACCTGGAAATGAGAATCATGTGGCCAGTCGCGCCATTGATATTGCTGCTGAAGTTAAGGTGAGTATGATAGATGGACCTTCCAAATTGCTTTAGTAGACTTTGTTAAATATCAGGACAGGAAAAAGAATCCGGTTAGAGAACAATTTTGCTTGCTCTATAAGCTCTATACTTCTAATGTTCGAGTTCAATGCCTAAAACTATAGCAAGACTAAAGAACAGTTACTCAAAGAATGGCGTCTTAACCATATCAATGCAGCATCTCCTATGGACTTGCACAATCAGGAGCACATTAACCACCTCTGTTGTCACCTTGCAGCAACCCACACATACCACTTCGAAGAGCACCTGTGAGAAGTTCAACACCGAGGACAGTGTGCCAGGGTTCCGGGTAGAGCCGCGGGCATTGCCAACCTCAGTTCAGGTTCCTGAATGTGGATCCACATGGAATAAAACAGGGGGTTACGCCGATCATCGTTCGGTTCTCGGTCGTGTGTACAGCTCTGTTCGTGTTGCAAGGAAGAAAGGATCATCAAATTCAAATATACCACAGTATGACGCTGCAGATTTGAGGAATGGTATTGAGATTACTGATCACAACCAGCAAGTAGATAGGCCTGTCTCTTCTCAGAAGAAGGACCAGCAGGAGGTTAGTATTCTACTGTTAGGAAAGCGGACTACACTAGGCGTTTCTTTCATTTCACGTCAATTTGTATCTTATGTATGTGAATTGTTGTGATCAGGACCATGGAAGAAAGTACAAAAGGATCCACTACTCTGGACCATTGATGCCACCAGGTGGGAACATCGAAGATATGCTCAAGGAGCACGAGAGGCACATCCAAGAAGCGGTGCGCAAAGCGCGCCTCTGTAAGGGAAGCAAATAGCTAGGAGAACATAGAGCAGCTGAAGGTCCTAGGAGAAGATGAACCAGGGTTCAATGGTGCGGCTGACCGTTTTAGGACTAGGAATGCCAAAATAGCACTCATCAGCAAAACTGCCATATCGAGCTGTGCAAGAGTTGGCACATGTAACATGGTCAGGCTATATTGGTCATTTGGTCAATGCCATTGGAGATGAGTAAGATGGAAGCATCATAATATACCAGAGCATGAGTGGATTACATCACAAAGATCAGTAAGTTCATAGGTAGGATCACCTTTTAAAATTGAAGAGTGCAGAGAAATCAGGAAGGGGAATTGCAGAGCCTGGGTCAATAGATTTTTTTCCCATTATTTTGTAAAGAGGAGCACCTGAATTTATGCCTTTTTTTTTGTAAGTTTTGCAGAATGTTGCCACTGTAAAGTTGTTCATCCATTTTTCTGACAACTCTGGATTATGAAAAACAACAGGAGCTGGATTTGAAACTTCAAACGAACAGTCTCATGGTTCTTCAAGACCTGATTGCAGCCTGAATAGCATGATGTGTTTAAGGATACTGAAATTCTTAACAAATGAGGAGTCAAAGCTAATTATCAGTCTATCACGAGCATCACATAGTAAGTGGAAAAGCTTACAATCTAAAAAGGTAGAATCTGCATTTCCAATCTGAAAGTTTGGAAGAAAATCAAATGCTGTGGCTTCTCAAAAAAAAAAAGTCACTGTTTCATATGAGTATTATCATCAGGTTCTGAATTCTGTGGCTTTCAGAAGTTTATGTAAAAGGATTGCTAAGCCATATCACCAGCTAAAACTTGAACACATTTGTTACGGGAGTTTCTTTGTACTCACAGATTTACCACAACAGTAGTGGTGTCTTGTAACATTGTAGCACACCACTAGCGAACCGTTTAGGCCTTGTTTGGATGCATGTGTATCCACATGCGCATCCAAACAAGGCCTTAAGCTATGAACATCGTGGATGGAGTAACACTACAGATGAATTTCACAAGTTCTGGATTCCATCAAACTCAGTATGTTCATACAACAGGCAACATCGGTTCTCCATGCACTGACACTTGCAGAAGAATCATGACTGATATGAATTGAGTGATTTCCCATAGAAAATTGACACAGCCAACAGAAGCCCACCACAAACGTCAACCTTCAGGAATACAAAGCCGTAGGGTGGAGCCACCAGAGGATTTATTTTCTTTCCTCAAGTGTTGTTTTTTATTTTAGATCAAGGGTTTGGGAACACTGGTATAAAAAAACTAAGAGTTAGCAGAGAGATCAGTTGCAAAGAGATAGTGAAAAATAACAAAAATGAACTTAGTGCCAGTATTCACCTACCATTTTTGAAGCAGTGAGGCTCAGTTCTCACTGGGACCAAATTGTTTCTGTATATCACTGAATGATATGGCCGCAGAACCCCTTCTCTTAGCCTTTTGCTGTGATGGATGCTCCCTCCAGCCAGTCATGTAAATTACCTGCGCAAACAAGAAAATATTTGGCAATCAGTAGCCCAGTTTGTGTATCACTTACAGGGATTAATTATCTCTAGCCCAGAAAACAAAAGGATTTTGCTGAATCAGTTCAGGTTCAAATAAAGGTCAAATGTGCTGTGCTCTACTCTAATGAGGCAGGTACATAACTTGAAAGGTTGCTGGAATAGATCCGTCTTCTAACCCAAACATTGACTGGTAAATTGCTGCAGTTGCCAAGGCTGTATCCCTTTTCAACACCTGATAACACAAAATCAGTCCAAGTTCAATTATTAGGATAATTAAAACAATTAGATTTAGACATTTTTCGATAGACGAGTATGATATGTAAGATACTCACAGGATTTCTTTGAAAGAGAGCATTTGTTTCCCCCATTGCTCTAAGATGTTCAACAAGTTCAAAAGCTAGTTGACCATAGTAGCAAAAACATCAGCATGGATAGGTAACCCGTAAATCTCCATAATCAAAGTCAGCATATTTCTTTGATACTGAGTGAACTCTTATAGCATATATTATTTCTAAACTGAATAGATGTACAGCAATCACACAACAGCCAAGCATAAAAGTTGAAATACATGTCTATTCTACCATCATGCAATATTGTAAGGAAAAGAGAAGCTGGACAATACACATCACTATAAGAAATTTAGGTTTTATTTTTCTACAAACCATTATTGTATTTAACGGTATACTGATCAACATCAACTCCTGGAAGAGTGAAACCTGCCCTTGTCAAAAGGTTTCCTGCGTCACGGACCTTGAAAAATGCAATAAAAAAACACAGTTACAACAAATGGACACATAACAGGACAAGATAGAATAGTTGTATGCATGTAAGATTCATTCTGACTGTTGTAAAAGTCTGCAGTCTACTGAAGTAGTGACTTTACCATGAAGTGGTATAAAAAATATGTAAAGGGAGTACAAACAAATATCCTAGAGCAAAATTCAGAACATAAAGTAGCCATACCTGCGCTAAAGGGGACATTCGAGGACTGATGCCCCCTTCACGTTCCATTTGAGCAACTGTGCATGCAATTCTAAGCTCCCTGATAATAGAAATCGAGGCAAGACAAGTCAGATAAGGAAGTAAAAAAATGACAACAAATGGAAAATCAAAGTTTTATCTACAATTTGACAGGTTATCACTTCAGTGTTTCTCCACCAAGAATTGCTGCCAGAAAAAGGCCATCAGGTTGCAATGCCAGCCTACACTGCAAGGAAAAGGTAACAGTTAACCAGACATCAATAGTCAAGGTATTCCTTTTGTAAATAACTGACCATTATAGGAACATAGTAATATAAACTGGTTCAGGTCAAGAAATTTACCTGTATCATTGCTCCAGGTAGATCATTTGTCCAATGAAGTCCAAGACAGCTTATTATCAAATCCTGTGAACTTCAGAACCCATGAACCACACTAATGAGTAAATGTTGCAAGACCTGCCTGTGTTTATAATTATGCTTTTGACACTACAACAGACTGACTTAGGCACAAGAATAAAAAATCACACAAGCATGAAGCAATTACATTTTTTCTCCTCATGCATCATGTATGCTTTGATCTATAAGCAAGGTGGGAGGAGAGAAGCTGAAAGCTGAGCCGCTGAAGGAAAGAATACTTTTCCTTTTTTTCGCATGAGAATTGGAAAGATAAACATCTGGCAGTTGATTGGCAGACCCCATGGGAGGTACATTGCAATCTCGGCAAAGTAGTTGTGGGTTTTGTACATTTTACTCTCAATATCATGAATACAGTACATGAAATTGAAACCACCGAGAAAGTGAAGTCACCTCTCTTTGATTGGAAGGAACTCCTCATCGCCGACAACAAAGTGCGTCTCAGGTTCGTCACCACTGGAATTCTCTGACTCTCGCCACTTCTTCACCATGTCGGCTGACATGTCCATCATGATCAGCCTCTCAATTCCACCTGCGACGAAGGCATTCAGTTCATTTCCGTGCAAAATTGGTGGAACCTTGATGGCGGCATGGCGTGATCTGGTGACGAGTACAAAATAAAGAAGCGCACAAGAAGACTCGGAGCAGGATGCAAGGTGGCTCACCGCGGCCGCGGAGCAAGCGGCGGACGGCACCGGCGGAGCCCCCGAGGCAGAGCGCGGAGGGGAAGGCTTTCCTGCAGTCCTCGAGGCGGTCGAGGAGGTTTTCGGCGACGGCATCCACGAGCCCGTCGGTCTCACGCATCGCCCACGCCGCGCGGTCCCGGTGCCGGCGCTTCAGGTCGCGGTCGAAGATCTTGACGCGGCCGCCGCCACCGCCGTCGTCGAGGCCGTCGGCAGCGGAAGAGGAAGAGAAGTGGCGTTTGGGGAGAAGATGGCCATGGCGGTGGCGGAGGAGGAGAAGGCGGCGAGCGGCGGCGGCCGAGGAAGCCATCGGGACTCGGGAGCACCGGCGTTGGAGGAGATGGTGCCACGATTGCTGGGAGCCTTTTGGGCCTCGTTATTGGACTTTTCTCGAGCACAAAGTCTTAACTGGGCTACTTTGTTTGTTTTTACTTCCACTAAAAAAAAACTTTGTTTGTTTTTACTTTTTTTTTCTTGTTTCTATTTTTTTTCAAAAAATGAGCGCAACATCTACTCCCCCGTTCCAAATTGTAGGTCTTTGTAATTTTTTAGATGCATAGTATTTACTAGGTATCCAAATATAATATAGATCTAGGCACATAGCAAAACTCAGGTACCTATGGCTTACAGTTTGGAATGGAGGGAGTAGTATTTAGTTAACTACCGATGAACTAAGGCAAAGGCAAGTGTGTGCTTGCTACTGCAAAAATGTTATCATCACCGGTTCATAACTGTCCAGCACCGCCGGCTTTGTCCCTCGGCAGTGATATATCATTGTCGAGGATGACCATGGTTATCACTACCGGTTTAAACTAGCAGTGATAATCATTTCCCAAAAAATGTAAGATCACTGTAAAAAAAGAAAAAAAATCGAGGAAAGATCCTACCATGCACTCTCAAGGTTGTAAAGTCACAAGTCGTGTGATTTTTCGTGTGACTCGCCGTGTGGGGGACGAGGAGACTCTTCTTTGGTGGAGAAGCTCCGTAGTAGACAACACATTGGTGACTAGGAGAGTCAAGTGACAAGTGGTGAGCCTTAGTGGCTTACGACACTCATCTTGTTAGTGGTGGCTTTTGTTGCTTACCCAACACCATGAGCGAGATAAGGCGTGGTGACCTGGATCATATCCTTTATGGAGCACCAACGCGGACTAAGGGGGTGTTTTGATAACTGATATCACAAGACAAATCTTTGTCTCCAGGAGTTTGTCCTCTTTTGACTTGCTCTTTACCTTACACATTTAAGCTACTGCATTGTGCATGTTTTGTGCAACCTTCATTTTTCCTATAGATTGACATAAGCTACTTGGCAGGATTACCTCTAGGTTATTACAAAACTCTTTATAGATTGGTTAAGATAGAGCACACTAGGCAAATCTAAGGTGCACATTATGCTAGTTCATTATGTTGTTTCTAGTGGAGATCAGCTGAACTTAGGTGTTAGTTATTAAGTGACCCAATTTACCTCCTCCTGGGCTCATGTGCCCCTTCAGGAGTAGGCGAGGAGAAGAAGAATAGTATCTACACTTAAGCTATTTATTTGTGAAACAAGGATTATAAAAATCTAGATTGTAAAATCTCAATCACAAAAACCTATATTTTGTTTGGCAAGATTGACCGTGAGAGGATGGATCTCATTTTCCATTAAATGAAAAACACATGAATCTTTGTAACACTCTTGCTAAAACGTGGGGCCAGCATGGGCATGAACAGTATTTGCCAAAATCCCGATGGGTATTTTGGTTTTTTGACAGTCCAAATTTTGATGCAAACTGGTGGGAGGTGGGGATTGCTATATTGTTGCAATATAGTGACCAAATTGTAAATAATTGCTTACAAAACATGTCCTTTTGTTGTAGCTTTGGATTGTAAAATAAAGTCAGAATTACAAAGTTGAACCAAAACAAGACTTAGATCATAGAAATTAGCGTTAGTCCAATAGCTATAAAGTTGGAATGACGTGATTCGTTTTGGATTCAGATTTATTATGTTATTAAATCATTGCTAGTGGCCTAGTACATCTATACAGAATATAGGATTTCTTATACATGTTAAAGTCCGGTGAATTAGATCTTACATGTCAAAGTGTGTACTGGGTTAATGATTAGTTGTCGGGAAATCAAACTATTTAATCCTATTCCTCAATTTGCATTATAAAATTTGCAATCCCATATTTTGAATTGATGTGTCAGTGACATGGTCCATGTGTCATTAATAGTGGCAAATAAGAGATGCTGTAAAATTGCAATGGCAAGAAAAGAAATTTATCCTACTTTTGAAATGCATACCTGGTCGGTAAAGTATACAGTACCCAGTCAGTAAACTGTGATCTCCAGGGTAGTTCATGAGACAAAATCTTGAAAGTTTACCCTCTCCTAGGACATCAAAGTCAGCAACTGAACTCTTCTGATGGTGTGTAGAGCCTGAACCTGAAGTCATGGTGGGGCTTGGGTCCGGCCTACCTTTGATATGTAACCAGAAACCTGAATTTCTTATAGCGAACTGTGCAAGGTGAACATCATTCATCTTTAGTCAAACTTAGTCGGTAACACTTTATTTCATAAGGATCGATTGTCCATTTGTCCTAGTACCACCAGATTCAGCCACTCAGTCCAGATGATGGTGACATGTCCTTAGTAATCACACAATCAAATCTTTACATAATCAATGAAAACCCTTCCCGCAATAAAAAAAGAAGATAAAAACCCAACCAGGCATAATAATCTTCTCTTCAACAAAAGGAATGATGAACGAACTGGGTAGGAACACCCAAAAACATCAAAACTCAGTATGTACAGTCGATACTATTAGCCCCCTGCCCTGTTTTTTTTTCCCAGCCATGATCTCCAATAAAGTGTTTCTCTGAATTGACATCTTAAACATGGCACTTGGATAAGCAGTGTCCCAATCCAACACAACTCGCAGCCACTCACTTCAGATGGTAACATATCCACAGCAATCACACAGATTCTGGAATAAAATATAATTCTGGCTTTAAGGGCTCGTTCGGTTATCCTGAAATGAGGCCAGAAAACATTCCGGCTGATCAATTGTTATGTAAATTAGCCAATTATTTTGGCTGGGAATCGTTCTAGAGAATGAATCCCAGGGAACCTAACGAGCCCTAAGTGTATCTTAGGTGAAACCTGCACTTTCTTACTCTCTAAACATAAACTGCAGAGAGATCCGTACGGTGAAGCTTTTAAATTTTGCATTTGCATTTACCTTGGGCCATGTCTCGTAGAATATTTGTTACTTTTACTAGTATTTCATAAAACCTTTTTTTATATATATAAAAGGAAATGCTAGAATTTGCTATCGGAGTGGTTAGTGGTAGGTGCAGGCCCTGTTCGGCTTACCCCATATTCAGCTTGTTCGACTTCTTTTTTTCAGCTGGAACAGTGTTTTTCTCTCACAACAATTCAGTCGGAACAGTGTTTTCAGCCAAGTTTCAGACCAGTGAACGGGGCGCAGTTGTAAATCACTTGCTACCTGCCTCTGCAAAAGGGCTAATAATCCACTGACACTCGGTACTACCACATAAGGATTATTTCGTCAATGAACTAGTAGGTAGAACTTCCCATGTGATTTCTTCCTCTCTGCCTGGCCATCGTGCCATGGAAATCAAGTCCCTGCCGTGCTCTTGCCCAACCGAGCTTGTCACTTTTTCAGCAACAGCCAACAGGTGATGGATGCACTGCAGCAACATTCCAAAGACATCAAATCCAAGTCACACTCACCAGTTGGCCAATGAGGCAAAGACAACACATCCAAGTACTCCTAGGATACCAGCAGTAATTGAACTTTCATCCATCAGTTGGTAGTACCTGGAATCCTGCCTCTTCACGGGCGCCAATCCATATTCAGCTTTCCAACCTCAATATTTCATCCCAGTATCTGCACGTTCACATAATTCATCTTTGCATGTGTCGGTGTAAAAACGTGTCGATACGTCGAGCACATAGCAAGTCGGAAGGATCTGTTTGACGGAGTAAGGCCGGAGATCTGTTTGGCTTCAACGCAGGGCTAACCGATCCTGCGAATTCCTCCCGAGGCGTGTCAGTCAATTTGACCTACAATTGACAAGGAGAGAAAGTTTATCAGTAATTTAAGATGGAACATGCCGGTCTTCGCCTAGACAGTTCCAAGTGTGCCGCTTCGGGAGCAGTCAGATAGGAAAAATCGACTAAACGGCCGATATGCGAAGAAATCGGCTGTTTACGGACTGTAAAGCTCGTGGATCGTGATTGATTTTTTGTTGATAAGTACAATGCCCACAGATATAAGTAAAATCATCAGCTAGGTAAGTATTACTAGTGTAAAGTATTGAACCGATGAATCTAACGAGAAATGATATAACACGCGAACAAATCGACTGTCTAGTACGAATGGATCTGCAAACGCTCTGAATCTAATATGTTACCATCAATAGTGAGGTTCGACCGAATTGATGGCAGCTATGATGATAATAACAGACCAAAACTGAAGAATCCGTAAAACCATCTATACATTGACAGGCTTTCCGAAAGACATGCTATATGTGTGAAAGCTCAAGCGGACCGGCTGAAATAGCCGATTCAAGTGAAAAAATGACTACAACATGTGAACAATCGACTATTTAACATGGACAAACCTATGAACTCATTAGACTTAACCTACTATCTCTAACAGTGAGGTTCAACCGGATCGATGACAGCCGTGATAAAGGCAGCAAATCAAACCTTTAAAGTAAATAGATCTATTCACATTTAACAGAATCATGAAGACACACTATAGGCGTTAAAGCATAGGCGATCGGCTATTTAGCCGATGCAGGCATAACAAACAGTTAAGGTCATGCCTGATCGAGAACAAATCTACCAACTAGCATCCTCCGATCTAGAGTGCCATCAGTGGGGATCGACCGGATCGTTGCAGCCATAATAGTGAACTATAGACCAGATTTAACTAGCCAGTAAACCTCCTCAAGATCATACATGCCTTAACCGCATACTATGCACGATCAAGATCAAAATAGAACAGCTGATGAAACATAACCCGTCGCTCAACGTAAGAAACATCGTATCGTAACAAAGCAAACGACGGGCTAAAAGGATATGAGGCCGATCTAGATTGATCTCGACTGGGCAGATTGATGTTGCTGAAAACTAATAACAATAAGAAACATCAGCAAAATCGGTAACTTAATGAATCTACCCAGAGGACGCCACCCTTAGGTAGAGCCGATAACTTGACCTTAATCTAATTCGAGCAGTGAAGGTCGAACTTAACCGATGCAGCCGTACTTGAACTAGATAAGAGTCGATAACT